GCAGTAAGGTCAATCAAAATTCCTCCGTCACTAATCTCACATAAGTTTTAGAACAGTATCGGAATTTGTGTGTTTGCAGTTTCAGTCCTAAGATCTTGACATCACGAAAACCCTTCAACTAGCACATTTGATTACAAATTTTTGCAAGCAACTAACTATTTGTAAACTCTGGCAACATCGTTCAGTTTCGCTCGTCGTTCTATATACTCCTTATCACCATATCCCTTCAAATGAACAACAAATATCAATATAATTACACATAGAAACGCCCGCCATTCATCGAAGTGAACATTGAATTTCTCGGTGAGCAAAGTGACCATTTGGACTGCGAACAGAGGAAGGAGCTCACCGGATGTCTGGGATCCGTTGTAGGTTCGTATTTGATCACACAGTGGAAGCATTTGTCTAGCTCAGCCACATGCACTGGGAACCATACAGCTAAAATTGATTAACTGAGCATTTGCTTTGATTTCAGTCTGTTTCAGTCATGTTCTCAGTCTTCATTTTCTCACAAGTACGAAAGGTGAATGTGGCTTGTAACGCAACAGTGCTTCCCGGCATCTCCTGATCACGCATAACTGCAGATAGTTTCAAACCGTTTGCGAACAATTGAAATGTTCAGTTAATCCAACACCGATTCGTATTATGAGATGAACATACCATTGATGTTGTTCTTGGCATTTTTGAATAGTTTCAGTTTAGTGAGCTGATTTTCTGCAGTGAGCTTTGAAACTGCATCGATAAACGCCTCCTTTTTGCAGTCACATTCAACGAGGAGTTCAAGCGTGTTGCCTGCATATTTGACTGTTTCTTCACTATGCTTACTTTCTTACAATTGCATCAACATGCTTGGTTCCTGACCTTGCAACGAAACATTATCGCTATTCTACCGTCGAGATCAACTTAATTGGAGGTGCGATCAAGAGAAATGGAGAACAAAAATCTGACTATGGTTGGATAAAGATGGAACTGTAGAGCTGGAACGCAAAAAATTACACCGAAATAGCTTTCCATTCAGGATGAACATACGTATTCATACATGTGGATTAACAAACATATTTTTTATATGCAAGAGTAGAGTATATTTCCTGTAAAAATATTGGTTCAGTCAAGTACCGTTGTTAGTTGTCGTTTTTGCGTTGGATTCATCGGAATTGTTCGCTTTTTCGTTGATTCCGAGTCGTGATTCAATATGTCGAATGTGCACTCCGCATGCGTGGAATGTTGAAGCAACGGCGCAAAGGAACTCGGTAGATGACCCTGAAACGTTTCGAATTATTTGGGACAATACCGGATATGTCATGTGAAATTTCCGTGACCGGTCAATTTACCGAAAGACGTTTTGCCTAGCGACAGTTGCCTAAAAACACATTGGCTAACGGACAATTTGTCTAACGGACAGTTTGCCTAAGGAACAGTTTGCCTATTAGGCGAAATATCCATTAAAAACCATAAGTTAGGCAAACTGTCCGTTAGGCAATGAGTCTTTAGGCAGATTGATCGGGTACCGAAATTTCTGGTGATGTGGAACTTTTACTGTGATCAGGTGATGTGGAACTTTTGCTGATTCACTTCGGCATTGCTATCATGAAGAAGTTGTGAGCTATAATTATCACGATATCCGTACTGGTCTACTCATGTGTTCAAGCATTTGTGATCACGCAACCAATGTACTAGACAACCACAAATCACTTCTCATATGGATCAAAGGGGATGAACGAAATTCTACTAATAGTTTTTCCACTGAATGAGAAACTCAACTCACGTTGGCTGGTAAGAATTGCCGTGAAAATCATCGACGCGTCGTCTTTGCTTGACCATATTAATTCAATTCCCTCGTCATTCAACTGCTGTAGAATCTAGAGAGAGAATAATTTGCAATCGAAATCAGTTACACTACAAAATTCAAGTGGAACACTTGAATTTCACAGTTTTCTAACAAGCAGATCCACTAATGGAAGCAACTCACTCCGCCTGCTTGGAGCGCTTGCTCGAGATCTTTACGGTGTTTCAACGTATTTGAGCGTTTCAATCCCTCGTTTTGTACGCGGTCAATGCTGGCTTGACGAACCAAACTGTCTCTCGCACCGAATTTCCTCGGATCCTAAGAAATTTCACCTTCTGCTTTAATTTGTTTAGAACTCATCAAATCCATTCCCCCATCAACGGACAGCTAGATGGCCTCAAGACATCTAAGCGGTAACAGATTTCGATCTCAGCCCTTGCTGGCGAAAGCAGTCCCGTAAGTTGAAATTTTTGTGGAATACGTTTGCGCATTCCTCAAAAAATTGGAGCATTCAAGAACGGATGACTTGCATTTGATCATTTCAAGTGTCAAAATTGAAATGTACATTGAAAACAGGATGTGAAAATTTGGAGATAGAAGTGACAATCGTTATCACTGAAACGAAACGGATTATTTCGTGAAAAATGTAAAATCAACCAACCACTTCGGTCGCCATTTAAGTTAGGTGTCCAATAGACGTTCCTCGACAGCTGAAATCAATGATCTCATTTAAAGAAATTAAAGGAAAATTGAGGTGTTCATTGAAATACACGGCACTTTTAACGGAAAATCGCATTCAATACAACGTATCATGTCATTAATACATTCCTTCGAGTCTCGTATAATTTCCTACAGATCCACGAAATGGGTACTGATGGTCCGGCACTACTTTTGTTGATCAAGGCCAAGATCATGGACTGGAGAGAGTTTTTAAGAAGCGAATAAAGGAATGAATAATGAAAATGAGCATGGCTGAGGAACCAAGGAGTTAGTGATAGATGTTCGAATGAAATGCGGTGAACGAATTCTCACTTGATAG